TTCCGCCGAGTTCGGTCCCCGGGACCGTCGAAACACGGCTCAAGATAGAAAGCCCGTCCCTAGGAGTGTGTCAAGACTTCTGGGGGCGCCGCATGGGAAAAAACACGACATCGGATCTCTGGGACCGGCGTTTTCATTAGATGTTGGCCTTCTGGGGGCCGTTCTCGAGGCCCTGTCTGCGGATCGGGGATGGAAGATCTCCCCAGGCGAAGGGATCGGATCCTCTGAGGCGGATCATATCGTCGGATGTCTGAGCTGGCGGCGGCAGCGGCAGCAGCGGCAGCGGCGGCAGCGGCAGCGGCGGCAGCGGCGGCGTCGTCGACGGCGTCACTGGGCCGCGGCTCGGGGCCGTGCTGGCGGCGGCGGCGACGGCAACGACGGTGGCGGCAACTGCTGCGGTGAAGGCAGCCGCGGCGGCGGCGACGGCGGCGGCGACGGCGGCGGCGACGGCGGCGGCGACGGCGGCGGCGGCATCGGCGGCGGCGGCAATGGCGACGGCGGCGACGGCGACGGCATTGGCGGAGGCGTCACTGGGCCAGGGCGGGCCGCGCTGACGGCGGCGACGGCGGCGACCACGGCGGCGGACACGGCGGCGACGGCGGCGGCGACGGCGGCGGCGGCGGCGACGGCGGAGGCGTCACCGGGCCGGGGCTCGGGGCCGTGCGGAGCAAGCAGACGAAGAGGCAGTCCTACTACAAGCCCGCCCGCTCTGACCCGTGCGGGCAGCGAGAGAATAGGAAGGCGCGCATCGGGGTGAAGGCGCTGCCCTCCGAGTACGTGGAGGCAGTCAAAGCAGAAACAACTGCGTAAACATCGGTTTCCGGATCTCAGCGCGGGTTTCTCGGATCGGCGCCGTGCCCCCCTGGCGGCGCCTCCGTCGCCGCCCCTGGCGCGCGGGGGTCAAGCGCCAATCTAAGAAATCCGTGCGGAGCTCCGACGGTTTATGATTTTTGTCTCTTGCTTCTAGGCAGGCCGTATGATCTGCCAGCACCGGAAGTTCCTTCCCAAGAACCCTCACGTCACACGGAAGCGGCACTTCAAGACGTATCCAGGAGTCAATGTGAAGGTGATGAAGAACACCTCATTGCAGGCAGCATGCAGCGGCCGCATCAAGATGACACACGACGTTAAGCGCGATGTCATGATCATGAATGTGTTGGCGGAGCCGAGGGAGGAGTTACTGCGGGAGGAATTGTGGCGGTACCGCACAGAGCATGTGGAGAGCATGGAGGAGAACAGATATGTTTGCAGCCTGCGCGCGAAAGCCTGGCCAGTCTTCGGCAAGAGTGGCGGCTGGGTCAACCCTCCAGAGGGTCCCAAGCCGATGCGCTGCCGCATCTCTTACGGCAATGACATTTGGAACAACATGAAAGTGCAGGACCCCATGGAGATCGAGCCCTACGCCTACCCTCTGCCGCGGAGCTCCAGGGCAACGGGCCGAATAGGCTCAGGGGGGGACACATCGACCCCCAACCGTCCGTGCATCGCCGATAGGGGCCCGATAGACCACGCCGCCCCGGAACGCGCTGTTTCGCGATCGAGGGCCTATCGCCAATCAGTCGGCGGTGCATCGCCGATTCCAGCTCGATGTTCGCAACCTGAACCAGTCTACCCTCAATGCTGCCCTATCAGGAGCCTCTTGGAGAGGCATATCAAGAAGGTTCGCCGACGCCACGCTGGGGTGCCAGACGAGGAAAACGATCCGGAGTTCAGCCTGAAGGACACGCGGTACCACTTGTTCAAGGGCCAGGCAGCACAGAGGTGATCGACAATTCGAACAACAAAACTGCATAAACAATTTTTCGGAGCGCCGCGCGGATTTCTTGGCTCTGCGATGGGCCCCCCTGCGCGCCAGGAGGGGTGTCCAGTGCCGATCCAAGAAATCCGCGCGGAGCTCTGAAATCTTTGTTTATGCCGTTTTCGTTCCTCTAACACTGGGGCCCACGGACATGATTCAGACGAACTGATGTGGAGCCTGGCAGTGCCTCGTACTGACCACGTTCACCTTTTCATCGGATGCAGATTCGGGCTACGTAGTTTCACACGCGAGACTCTGCGAAAGGCGCATATGCGCGAGCGGTCTGAATTCTTCCTGCGTCGTTGCTCTCTTACCGCCCGTTTTCGCTTCGCGCGCCTTTGCTACGCACACCGCTGCTCGTTCTCCCCTTGTCTGCTGCTGCCGGCCTGGCACATCCCGCAGCCGGCGTTCGCTAGGTTCGCACCGCGTTGCCGCGGCGGCGGCGGAAATGCCGACGTCGAACGATCTGCGCTGTCGGACAGCCGCGGTCGTTCAAGGTCGTTCAAGGTTGAACGATCCTCGCCGGGTGCGAGGCAGCCACTCGCACGATTGTCCCCGCCCACCGTCGGTGCTCTTGCAAAAGCTGGTGCATGCAGCTGGTTTCGGTAAACAGCTGCATGCAGCTGGTTCGCCACCATCCCCCCGCTCTGCTACCCCGCACTTTGTCCGTTCCGAGACCCAGACGCACGATGTCATGTTTTTCCTACAATCCTGTGGTATTGCGTCCACCTTTTGAAGAGACAGCACCCCGCGCTTCTCCTTCTCACGTCCTTCTCCCTCCTCCCATCCCCCTGCCCCATTTCGGCATACCCCTCACTTGGCCCCACAGGGAACTCCACCGAAGGCACTAGCGGCAGGGCCCGCGTGGCGGCCCCGCATCAGATTCACGCACCCCTCACACGTTTCGTGGCCCCGTAAGGAGCTCCACCGAAAGTCCCAGCGGCAGGGTCCGCATGGCGGCCCCGCACAAATTTCGGCACACCCCTCAACACGTTTTGTGGCCCTGTAGGGAGCTCCACCGAAGGCCCCAGCAGCATTGTCCGCATTGCGGCCCCGCCCTATGTCAGCACACCCGTCACACGTTTCGCGGCCCCGTAACGAATTCCACGGAAGGCTTCAGTGGCAAGGTCCGGATGGCGACCCCGCACCCGATTCGGCACACCCCTCACACGTTCTGTGGCCCCACAGGGAGCTCTACCGACGGCCCCAGCGGCAGGGTCCGCGTGGCGGCCGCACAATTTCGGCACACCCCTCAAAAGTTGTTTGGCTCCACAGGGAGCTTCACCGAAGGCGATAGCGGCAGGGTCCGCATGGCGGCCCCGCATCCATGTCGGCACACCCCTCACACGCGCTTCGTGGCGCCATAGGGGGCTCCACCAGAGGCCCCAGCCGCAGAGTCCGCATGGCGGCCCCGCACCAGATGTCAGCACACCCCTCACACGCGTCGTGGCCCCATAAGGAGCTCCATCGCAGGCCGCAGCGGCACGGTCCGCATGGCGGCCCCGCACCCGATGTCGGTAGACCCCTCACACGTTTCGTTTCCCCATGGGGACCCGCGCCTCCTTCGTCCCACCTGCCTTGCGGCGCTCGCACCCACATATGGTCGGGTCCTTCGCCCGGACTGACTTTTCATCCTGAGTCGTTTGTGGACGGTCCCAGGGCCCGGCGAGGGCCCCTAGAGGCCGAAAACAGAACAACAGCAACAACACTAATCATTGTAGTAATTTCCGCTCCTATTTGTCCGCGTGCCATTCATCACATCTATCCTAAACACTCGGTTCCCGCCCTTTTTGTCTTCGATCATACCCTCCTTGGGGGCATATCTTCCTTACCTACCACGTGCATGTGGTGCAGCCCCGAAAACAGCGGAAGAAGGGGCGCATGGAAGAGGGAGGGAGAAGGCTGGAGCACGAGAGAAATTTGCAGGAGTGGGGCTAGGAGCAGAAAGCACGTGGCAGAGCCAGACGGGCAGACCGGGCGGGCAGACCCTAGCGGGGGCGGGTCGGGAAGGCGGGCCCCGGCGGCCAGGTCGAGCAGGCGGGCTGCTGAAGCGTGCCCTTGAGTTCCAGACCCTTTCCCCATGTGTGTTTCATCCAGAGCCTTTGTATAACGGTCCTGGAGCCTAGCGAGGGCCTACAGGAGCCGAAAGCGGAGAGGAACTTCCGTATTGCTGCTTCAGTACGTGAGAGGTCTGGTGAGGTGCCATCCACCAGAGTGCAAACGGGAGAGTTTGGGAGCTTCAGGAGGCTTCGTGGAAGGGCGGGATCTTAAAAGATCTGCCACGGACTCTGTGCTTGGCCCCCAGGTGCCTCCTCGTGCCTACGGTGTGCCTGCCGCTTGTCTGAAGGGGGGGCTCCGAAGGGGGGGGCTCCAGGTCGGACGGGGCTAGGACGAGGATACATCTGTTCCAGAGCGTAGCGTTCCATGCAGGACGCTCTGAGAAGGCCGCGACGCCCGAGACATCCTCCAGAGCCTGCGAATCTCAGAGTTTATTGATTTTTCCTCACCCGAATTCGTCTTCGTCGTGTCTTCGTCTTACCAGGTGCCTGCTCCTCCGCGGCCTTCTTCACGCGGCTTTCCCCTAGCAGTGTTCACACTCGGGGCTTATGACTTCTCTTCTTCGGATTCTGGGCCGGGCTGTCGGCTTCCAGCCGGCCTGAGGCCGCCCGTCGCCGCCCGTCGCCGCCGTCCTTGGTCCCGATTTGAATTGTGCGAGGCTCGCACTGTGCATTGCTTTGCATTGCGCTGAGCACTGCGTTGCGTTGTTTTGCATTGCTCTACTTGGCTCTGCACTGTGCTGCATTGCTTTGCGCCGCACAGATTGCACCACAGGGATTGCGCCACCCAGGTCCCACCGCATACTGTCTAGGACATGACCGTTTGGGGTCCATGCTGGCTGACACCTTGGGTGTACATGTAGATATACGCACATACAGATTCAAACATGCATCTGTTTTCACATATGCACATGTACTTGCTGATGTACGCATGCATATATAAATGAGTGTATAAATGTATCTATATGTGCATCTAGATGGGGGTGTGACGTGCGTGGGCCCATGTAACGGAGACTGTATGGCCGTCGTGCTTGTGGCATACGAGCGCACACGGCAAACAAACGCCATTCTGGTTCAAGGGTCGTGGCGGAGCCACGGTTGGCCAAGGCCGCGCCGTGGCCGGGCCGTGGCCAGCCGCCGCGCCCATGGTCACCGCGGTCAGCACCGTGGGCTTCGTGCCCACGGGCAACAAGCAGAAGGCGAAGCCGAACACCGTCAACAGCCTGCTCAATGAGAGGTCGTTCAAGGGTGGCTTCAGGTCTCGCTCGCATGGCGCACCGGGGCAGGTGGCAGGCCCGGGCGGCGCTGCAGCTGGGATGGAGCAGTTGGTAGCTTCGAACATCCTGGACGGGTTGGCGTTCAATTGTTGGGTCACGTTCACGGTGACTGTCAACATCATCGTCATCAGCCTGGAGCAGGACCTCTGTCCGAGCGGCAGCAGCCCCGTCGACTGCACGAGCTGGTTCCTGCTCGAGCTTCTCTTCGGGATGCTCTTCCTAGGGGAGCTGGCGATTCGCATCTTCTTCACCCAGCCCAAGAGGAAATTTTTCAACGATTTGTGGAATGTCATGGACATGATCCTCATCATCGCCGCTTTCCTCGACACCCTGGTCTTCGCCCCGATCGGCATCGGCGGCTTTATACGCTACTTCACCGTGTTGCGCGCTCTCCGCGCGATCAAGCTGGTGCGCCTGGTGCAGATGTTCCCCCTCTTCCGCGAGCTTTGGCTGCTCGTTGGCGGCCTCTCCAACTCGCTGAAGGCGCTGGGCTGGGTCGGGCTCATCGTGGTAATGGTCCTGTACGTCTGCGGCATCGTGGTCACGATGGAGATCGGGAAGAACGACGACGTGTATGCCATCGGTCCGTCGTACGACGGGCAGGTGTCGGGGGCCGATTCATGGCCACCGCCCCCGCGCGCGTACCTTGTGCGCGACCAGCTTGTTTGTGGGGACGGTGTGCATAAGTCACGTCCCCAGGGGATGCCCCACTTTTGTACACAACCCCCGCTCCGCGGCCTTGTGCCGGACCAGCTTGTGCCGGAGGGGGGAGGTGGGAGGGCGGGAAGAAGGATGACGAGGACAGCACAAAACCCGTTTCCCCAAGGTGTGGCCGTACAAGAAGTATTTCGGGACAGTTTGGCGCTCCATGTTCACGCTCTTCCAGGTGCTCACGCTGGACAGCTGGTGCGACGGCATCGTCCGGCACGTGGTCTACCGGCAACCGTACATGGGCGTCTTCTTCGTGGTATTTCTGCTGCTGACCGCCTTCGGCCTCATCTCGAGGGAGAGAACACGGCATAACCATCAACTCTCGGAGCTCCGCGCAGATGTTTTGGATCGGCGCTGGGCGCCCCTTGGCGGCGCCTCCGGCGCCGCCCCTGTCGCGCTCCGCGCGCCAGGGAGGAGGGCCCAGCGCTGGTCTGAGAAGTCCGCGCGGAGGTCCGAGAGCCATGCAGGTTGACGCCGTTGTGCCTCCCTCGACCCTCAACGTGATCATCGGGATCATCGTGGAGAACACCCTGGCCGCGGCGCAGGTCACAGACCGCCGCGTGGAGGAGCGGGAGGCGCAGCTCCGCAGGGCCGCGGTGGAGCACCTGTCCGTGATCCTGGAGAAGTCGGACGTGGCCCGCCTCGGGGAGATCTCGCTGGAGGAGCTGAAGGCGGCGAACAACAGCAACATAGTCAAGGATCGAGGGAGAACAATCGGGGAACAACCACTGACATGAACGTACAAACTCAGAGGTCCGCACGGATTTCTCGGATCGGCGCTGGACCACCCTCCCTGGCGCGCGGAGCGCGCCAGGGGCGGCGCCGAAGGCGCCGCCAGGGGGACCCCAGCGCGGACCTCCGAGTTGTTATGTTTATGTCATTGCTTGTTCCCCTAATTAACCCACCGCCTCCCCACCGACCCAGCAGGTTGCGAGGGGCGGTGGACGTCCTCTTCCCAGACCCCCTCGCGTCAGAATGAACATCACAACGGAGGCTGTTTGGCCGTCTTCGTCATCCAGGGGGGGAGGTCTGAATTACTGGGCCCTGGGCCGTCAAGAAACGACCCTGCATGAAAACCCGTCCCTGGGAAGGGGTAGCGTCGAAGACTAAAACGCTGCAAAAACATAGTTTCTCGGAGCTCCGCGCGGATTTCTTAGATTTGCGCTGGACCCCCCCCCCCGCGGCGCCTCCAGCGCCGCCCCTGGCGAGCTCCGCTCGCCAGAGGGGGTCCAGCGCCGATCCAGGAAATCCGCGCGGAGCTCCCAGAGTTAATGCGTATGCGATTTTTTAATGTAAAGGAGAAGTTCGACAGGATCGGCATGAGCTTCGATGAAATCGAAGAGATCTTCAAGCTGCTGGACTACGAGCGGCGGGGTCGCGTGGAGCTGAAGCGGCTGGCCGCATCCTGCTTGGAGCTCGTGGGCGGGGCCAAGCGGAGAGACATCGCCCAGGTGGAGGTCACCATTGGGTCGCTCGCGCAGCACCTCGACTCGCTGGATTCGAAATTCTCAAGAATCGAGTCCGAGGTGCAGGGCCTCACGAGCATGGCGGAGGAGTTCGTGCAGACGACCGTGCGCCTGCTCACTGGCTTCGACGGAAACGAGAAGCCAGCGGTGGCGGGCGCGTCGGGGCGCTGAGGACAAGGCTACTTCGCGACAGGCTCCGATCAGCGCTCCGGTTTCTGTGCCCACTGCCTTCATAATTATGTGTTTCACGCTGGCTGCCTTATCTTAGCTTTGCGCTGCGCGCACCCTCACCAGGGGAGCGGGGACGGGTGGAGAAGGGGAGGAGAGAGATCCGAGGTGTCGGTGGTCTTTTTCACACGCGGGGCCCCAGGCAGTCCGTCCCTCTCCGCAGGGACGGCGTGTTTCCGTGCTGCGCCAGTGTTTGGACGGTCCCAGGGCCCGGCGAGAGATCCCCTAGATGCCGACAACGAAGCGGGAGACCCTCGTTTTTCTGTCAAGGCCTTGGAGGGCTGGGGAGGAGAGGGGACGGGTGCGGCGCCGCAGGGTGGCATTTGCTGAATTCTTCTGGTCCGGAGTTGTCCTTGTCATGGCACGGGGGGAAGGCGGAGCCCTGCGCGCTGGTTGCAGGGCCTTAAGCACATGCAGGTGATGGAGGATCTCTGGGCGCCAATGAGGATGTTGCAACTCAGGATCTTGCAAGATCCGTCTGGAGTAAGCGGATGATTGACAGCTCTTCGACCCACCGATGCAGTTTTCTCGGGCGCGCCAATGGCCTGGTTTGGCTAAAGTCCTCGTTTACGGCGCCCTGAGGTGCGAGGACCGATGATCGATATTTTCGGACGAACTTGGCCCTTTTCGGGCCTCCAGGGGAGGTCTTGTCGCCATAGCTGGATCCCCTCGAAATTCTAGTGAAAGCGCACACCAGGACAGGTCTGGAGATCTACGTTCGACCCCGTGGCTGAGGGGAGGAGGAAGGAGGCGCCCCCTCTTCCCATCCTGAGGAGGGAGGAGGACACGCCTCCTTCCCTCTCATCCTCATCCCTCCTCCTGGGGAGGGAGGGGGGCCCTCCGCATCCTCATCCCTTGTCTCCCCCCTCGACGAGCACTCCTGCGCCCTCCCCCGTCTGCATCCTCGACCGCAGGCGCCGCCCTCGCCCCGAAGCCAGCCTGAACGGACTCTGCGACCGGGCCGCACTTCCTTAACTTAGCCCCCAGCTGCGCGCCCGTGCGTCGGGCCTCCCCGGAGACGCGCGCACGCGCCACTTGCCACCTGTTCTCGAGGGGCGACAAAAAAGGCATGCTCCCATTCTGTCGGAGGTCTCTCGTGCGCGCCCGCGCGTCGGGCCTCCCCGGAGGCGCGCGCACGCGCCACCTCGCCGCCTGTGCTCGAGGGGTGGCAGAAAAGGCGTGCTCCTCTCCTGTCGGAGGCCCGAGCGGATGCCCGGGGTCGGCGCCAGAGCCGCGTTACTGCCCCTCCCCTCCGGCGGAGCCTCCGGATGGGCGGTTCGATGCCGACCCAAGCATCGCAGGCCTAGAGATTGACACCAACACCAAGATCGGCGGTGTGCCTCCATCCAGGGAAGACGATCCCGATCTCGGTGATGGTGGTAATATTCTGGCTTCCAAGGTGGCCGAAATATTACCACCAACACCGAAATCTAAGATCACCTTCCCCCTGTGGAGGCAAACCCCTTGTGTTGGTGTTGGTGCCCATTTCCAGGCCTCCAAAAGCAGTCCTCGCGGCACTACGTTGCGAGAGTGCAGCCCGCGGAAGTCATCAGGAGCTCCCCCCTTCCAGCAAAAGGGTAACACCTCCCCGCACCGGAAGCATTACTTTCGCAACTGGAGGATGATGCGGCTCTCGCCCCAGCGCCGCACACATTCGTTCCAAACACTTGCAAGAGCTTCACGGCTGGAGGGCGGGTCGTTTCAAAATGTGGCTCTCGCCGTAGTGCCGCGCACATTTGTGTGAAACAGGTGTAAGAGTTTCACGTGTTGAGGGAAGGTCAATAGTTTGAGACAGGCCTGGAGGGAGCGATAATTTGTTGGGGGGCTGTTTGGCACGGTGCTAAAGCTATCGTTCGACACGCTTCGTGGCCCCATAGGGAGCTCCACAGTCCGCATGGCGGCGCCGTCCCATTTTGGCACACCCATCACACGTGTCGTGGCCTCATAGGGAGCTCCACCTCAGGTCCCAGTGGCGCAGTCCGCGTTGTGTACATGTCCTCCCCTGATGTTGTTTGCGCATGCCGCTCTGTTGTTCATTTTCTGCGTGGTGTGCCTGCTTGCCGCGCCAGACGTGGCCGAGCCCCGTGTGCCGCCATTTCGTCTTCATTTTCTTCCCGCCCTGTGCGCGGCCGTTCCGTGTTCAGTTTTTCTCTGGCTGTTGTTGTTCTTGATACCGCTTCGTGACACATTGTTCCGCATAGCGTGCCTGCTTGACACGCCGAAGGTGGCCGAGCCCCTCCCGCCGCCGCCATGTTTACGTCAATGTCCTTCCCTCCTTGTGCGCGGCCGTGTTGTGTCCATTTCCCTCCCTGCTTTGTTTTCTTCCATGCCGCTTTCTGACACATCGGCACGCCGAACATGGCCGAGCCCCGTGCGCCGCTATTTTGACTTCACTTTCTTCCCGCCCAGTGCGCGGCCGTTCTGTGTCCATTTCCTTCTCTGCTGTTCCCACCCCCATGCCGCTTTATGACACATTGTTTTGCGCAGTGTGCCTGCTTGCTACGCCGAACGTGGCCGAGCCCCGTGCGCCGCCATTTCGTGTCAATTTTCTTCCCGCCCTGAGCGCGGCCGTGTTGTGCCAATTTCCTTCCCTGTTGTGTTTCCCCAATGCAGCTGGCACGAGGGTCAAGAATAACTTCGGCGTCGCAGGGGTACCCTCATGTTCTCCGCCTGGTGGCCCCCAGCCCTATGATGTTCCCTGTTTTGGGCGTGTCCGTGGGGCCCTTGGCCTTCGACGAAGGGGCTCGCGTTCTTGATCCACGTTCTGGTGTTGTTACATGTTATTTTGCGCAGCGTGCTATCTTTCCGCGCCGAATGTGGCCGAGCCCCGTGCGCCGCCATTCTGTCTCTATTTTCTTCCCGCCTTGTGCGCGGCCGTTCCGTGTCCATTTCCTTCCTTGCTGCTTTCTTTCCCCACGCAGCCGTTTTACACACTGTTTTGCGTAGCGTGCTTGCTTGCCACGCCGAATGTGGCCAAGCCCCGCGCGCCGCCATGTCATGTCCAGTTCTTTCCTTGGTATTTGTCCTTTTGCTGGCCCCTTCCTTCATCTCACCTGCATCGCGATACTTGCAGCTCTCTCTCCTCCGCCTCCTCCTCTTGCTTCTCATCCTCCGTCCTCGCATGCCTGCTTCTTTCCTGCGCATCGTTATTATCTTCGCCATCATTGCCTCTCGCCCCTCGCACGTTTTGTGGCCTCATTGGGAGCTTCACCGAAGGCCCAGGTGGCAGCGCCCGCATGGCGTCCCCGCCCCATTTGGGCACATCCCTCACACGCTTTGTGGCCCCATAAAGTGGGCTCTACATCAGGCTCCAGTAGCAGCGCCCGCATGGCGGCTCCGCACCATTTCGGCTCGCTCTTTCGGCCCCGCTACTAATAACGACTGAATTCACAACCGCGTATGGTTGGGTCCTTCGCCAGGCTAGTCATTTTTGGGGGGTTGGTTGGCACGATGCTAAAGCTATCGTTCGGCGAACATCCCCCCTGGATTGTTTCGCGCGGTGCTAAGATAACACCGCGGGGGTTCCTAATAACTTCCGCGGGTTATGTCTACGCAGTGTTACTTCTCTTTTTCTCAATGCGGCGCAGCAGCTGCCCATTCAGTAAGACGCAGCAGTGGTACGAGGGACAGATCATGGTGAAGTGACCGGCGGATAGTGCGAGAGAGGAGAACTCGACTTGAAAGCGGTCCTGTCATCCTGACGCAGCAAGTACGTCAGGTTTGCCGCATCCCCCTCATCATCTTCCTTTTTCTCTTCCCCATGATCCCCATCTTCGCTCCTCCCATCTGCTTTCCCCTGTGCCCCCTTCCCGTGCCGATCCTCATCCTCCCAGTCTTCCTCCTCCTTCTCTTCTTCTTCTTCTTCTTCTTCTTCTTGACCTCCTCGTTGTTATGATTCTTGATGACACAGGTCTCCGCCTCGGCATCGGCTGGCGACACAGCCGCAACAACGCTAGCCGTGTCCATGGGCGGGTCGTGAGGTGTCTGCTCCTCTGCGCGCTTCCTTGCCGTTCAGCCGTGCGGTATCGCTCCCAGAGTGCTCATGGGCGATAGAAATATCCGCATCCGCGCCCTCGCGCGCCGGGCCCCTGGCCGCGGAGACCCCACCCGGGACCTATCCGTGCGACCGCGTATCCGCGAGATCGCCCCCGGGAGCCCAGATCGCGAGGGCGCGAATACGGATAGGTTTGCCGCTCGTGAGGTGCGGCGCGTAGAGCACCGCCGCGGCGGCAGGCGGTGTGTAGAGCTCCCAGGTGGGGGGGACGCGGTATCGTCGAAACCGACGATTGGGATGGGACACCTTTGCATGGGTACCCTTGTATACTTGCCTCTCCTGCCCATCATTAACCCCTTTCGATGGGCAGCTCCGCCCGAAAAGCTTCGATACGGGCGTCCAAGGGGACTGCATCCTTGCCGTGCATCCTTGCCATCACTTTTGACTGTCTCGCCGCCGCGGCCGGCGCGCTTGACACGCTGCTGTGGCGGGAGGCGGCCGCGGACCCGCTGCGCAGAGATCACTGGCGTGGCGGCGCGTGGCGCGCGCGCGCGCGCCACGCGGAGGCCCACCGGCAGGCCGCGCTGGCCCCGCTGCGGAAGCTGGTGGGCGCCTTTGCGCTGGAGGCGGGCTGCCTGCCGGGGGCCCAGCCTGGGGGGGCAGCGGGACGCTCGCTGGACGGAGGGGGGAGGCCAGAAGAGGAGAAGGCACCGATGCCGCCACCCTTCCCTCGTCGTCGTGGCTGGGTCCTCCTCGAAATTGTTGGCAGAATGTGCCACAGGAGAGGTCTGGGGAGTAGTGGTATCGATATCTTTTTGCTCCACCAGGGGGTGGGAGGGGCACGCCCGCCAGTTTCGCTTGGGAGGCCCTGGAGCCTCCTGCCTCGCTTTCTCGTCAGGTTGCTTTGCAACTGCACGATGCCACGATGCCCCCTTGCGAGACCGAGTGC